CCCCCCCAGCCGGGCCGTGTCCCCCCCGGGGGCCGGAGGGGTCCCGGGCCAGGTGGTCTCTAATCCGCCCCTAAAGCCCCTCCCGGCCCCGGGGCGTCACCCCCGAGGGTTGTCCCGAGCCACCTTGTCCCCCCCCCCCGTGTGCGGGGACACGTGGCCTGAGGGACACGGGGACACCGTGGGGGCTCCACGCAGGAGAGAACCCCCCCAAACCCCGGTGCCCCTCGGTGCCCCCTCCCCTCTGCCGCTGCTCCCCGACCCAGCGCCGGGGCCGGCCCTGGCCCCATCCCTGTCCCCCTCGGGGACAATCCCGGGATAATCGGGAATAAAGGCCAGGTGGCTCCTGATCCCGATCCCGGCTCAGACCGGCGGGCACGGGGAGAGGGGGATGGAACGCGGGGGGGGGACACGGGGGGCGGGTCCCACCCAGGAGCGGGCACTGCCACGTGCCACCAACACTGGTGTCACCCGGCAGTGATGTCACCTGGCCCCAGTGTCACCCAGCAGTGATGTCACCTGGCCCCAAGGTCACCCATCCCTGATGTCACTTGGCCCCAATGTCACCTGGCCCCAAGGTCACTTCACCCTGATACCTACTGGCACTGATGTCCCCTGTCATTGATGTCACCTGGCCCCAATGTCACTCAGCTCCATTGTCACCTGGCACTGATGCCAACTGGCCTCTATGTCACCCGTCCCCAATGCCACCCATCCCCAATGTCACCCATCCCCAATGTCACCCATCCCCAACGCCACCCATCCCCAATGTCACCTGTCCCCAATGCCACCCATCCCAATGCCACCCATCCCAATGCCACCTGTCCCCAATGTCACCTGTCCCCAGTGCCACCCATCCCCAATGTCACCCGTCCCCAATGTCACCTGTCCCCAATGTCACCTGTCCCCAGTGCCACCTGTCCCCAATGTCACCTGTCCCCAATGTCACCGTGCCCCAGCCACCGTCCCCGTACATTTGGGGTTTATTTGAGCCGTTTGTGACACAGAGCAGCGATGCTGGAGCCACTTGGGGACACGGTGACCTCGCTGTGGCCACCTGGCCCCACCTGGGCACAGCAACCCAGTGATGTGGCCACCTCAGTGTGGTGACGTGGCCACCTGGGCATGGCGACTCGGCCACCTCGGCGTGGTGACCCGGTGACCTCGGCGCAGTGACCTGGTCACCCTGGCACAGTGACACGGCCCTCTGGCCGGGGGAGGTGGCCACGGGCAGGGCTAGGCGGCCGTGTCGGGGGCCGTGTCGGTGGCCATGTCGCTGGCCACGGCCTTGGCCACCTTGTCCCTCAGGTAGGACACGCGCTGCCGCTCCAGCTTCAGCTCCAGGAACTCGTAGTGGGGCACCTGGGGGGGAAGGGGTGACAGGAGCCACGGGGGGCCAGGGCTGTGCCCACCCTGTCCCACGGCACCCACCTGGGGTCCCAGCTGTGCCCCCAGCACGCCCTGATCCCCAGGGGCCCAGCACCCAGCTGGGGGGTCCCAGTGCCCGCCCAGGAAGATCTCAACACCCACCTGGAGGGTCCCAGAGCCCACCTGGGGTACTCCCAGTGCCCACCTGGAGGATCCCATCACCCACCCAGGGGAGACGGTGACGCTGGAGGGGGGTGACAGCGATACCAGGGGCTGACAGTGACACTGGGGGGGTGACACGTGGCTGTCACCACCCCCCAGGGCTATAATTACCCTGGGGGTTTAATCCTGGCTGACCCCGTGGGATCAGCTCTAAGAGCTCGTCTGTGTCACCTCCCTGTCACCCCCCCTGTCACCTGGCAGGTGGCCCGGGGGGATCACAGCGGCTCATCCCCGCTGAGCCCAGGGGAGGGAGGAGCTGGCAGCCCCCCAAAGGTGCCTGTGCCAACATCCCTACGGAACCAGGTGTGCCCAGGTGGGCGATGGCACCCGGCTGGTGTCACCAGGGTGTGGCCACAGGGACTGTGCCCTGGGCTGGGCACAGGTGGGGCCACACCTGAGTCCTGGGGGCACCTCACAGGGTGGGGGTCAGGCTCTGCTCCCAAGAGGGAATTGGCTCAGATGGCACCTGGGGACGTTCAGGTGGTGTTTGGGAAGCATTTGGGGAATGTTTTCGGAACATTCCCCCTGGAGAGGGCCGGGGGGGTGGTTTAAGCGCCGTGTGGATGTGGCACATGGGGACAGGTCAGCGGTGGCCCCGGCAGCGTGGGGACACACAGGGGGTCTGGGGGTGCCCGGGGGGTGCCCAGCCCAGCATTCCCAGCCCAGCATTCCCAGCCCAGCGTTCCCAGCTCACCTCCACCAGCAGGAAGCCGGCCCTGCGCAGGTGCCGCCGTGCCAGGGCCCCCCGGCCCAGCAGCTCCCGGCCCCGCGAGCTGAACTGCGGGAATTCCCAGCGCAGGATCGCCAGCCTGGGCACACGGGACACCGGGCTGAGCACGGGCACACCCCCCAGCCCTGCCAGGGCACAGCTGTCCCTCTCCTGCCACCTCCTGTCCTCCCTCCTCTGCCTCTCCTTGTCCCCCTCCTGCCCCCTCTTCTCCCCCTCCTTCTCTTCCTGTCCCCCTCCTTGTCCTCCTCCTTGTCCCCCCCCTCCTCTTCCTGCTCCTGTCCCCCCCTTCCCCCCAACTCGAGTAATCCCCCAACCCTCACCCACCTCCTGGTCCCTGAGGGCAGTCCTTTGTCCCCTCCTGTCCCCTCTCCACCTCCTGGTCCCTGAGGGAAGTCCTTTGTCCCCTCCTGTCCCCTCCCCACCTCCTGGTCCCTGAGGGCAGTGCCTTTGTCCCCTCCTGTCCCCTCTCCACCTCCTGGTCCCTGAGGGCAGTGCCTTTGTCCCCTCTTGTCCCTCTCTTCTTCCTCCTGCCCCACTCCTTGTCCCCCCACTGTCCCCTTTCTGTTCCCCACCCACCTCCTGGCCCCTGGGGACAGTACCTTTGTCCCCTCCTGTTCCCTCCCCACCTCCTGGTCCCCAGTGGCAGTGGCTTTGTCCCCCCTGTCCCCTGCCCACCTCTTGGCCCCTGGGGGCAGTGGCTTTGTCCCCTGGGAGTGGGGCAGGTGTGGGGCAGTGAAGTCCCCCACGGGCAGGGGTTTGTTGTCGCCGTCCAGCACCACCTCGGCATCTGTGGGGACAGAGGGGACATGGGGGACGTGGGCACTCAGAGCCACCCTCAGGGGGTCAGGGGGCTCTCCCCAACCCTGGGCAGGGATGTGTCCGTGGGGGATCCGTCCCCCTGTCCCACGGGAGGGGACAGGGGGCACTCGGAGCACGGAGGTTGCTGTGGCAGCCGGTGGCCGGTCCCCGACACGGGGGGACAGGGACCGAATTTGACTGGGCTGCGGGGGGTGACAGGGGGTGACATGGCTGGGGCACAACAGGGGAAGGTGACAGGGCCGTGACAGGGCTGGGGGTACCTGAGAGCACCTGGGGGTGCCCGGGGCAGGTGACAGGGCGGGGGGAGCTGGGAGGTGACAGAAAGTAGCAAGGCTGCAGCTGTCCAGGTGAAGGTGACAGGGCTGGGAGTACCTGGGGTAACTGAGGAAGGTGACAGGGCTGGGGGTGTCCAGAGGTCCCCGGGGCAGGTGACAGGGCTGGGGGTGCCCAGATGAAGGCAACAGGCCCCGAGTACCCAGGGGTACCTGGAGGTGCCTGGGGCAGGTGACAGGGGCAGGTGACAGGGCTGGGGGTATCTGGTGGTACTCAGGGAATGCTGAGGGTAGGTGACAGGGCTGGGGGTGGCAGGGGCAGGTGACAGGGCTGGGGGTGGCAGGGTTGGGGGTGGCAGGGTTGGGGGTGGCAGGGGGTGCCAGGGCAGGTGAGGGGGTGGCACAGAGGACGCTCACCGATGTCCCAGCCGAACACCGTGTGCACGTCGTAGCGCCCGAGGTCGCGGCCCCCCAGGGCCCCTGGCAGCGCCTCCCGCAGCCCCTGCTGCAGGGGGGTGGCCTTGTCCTTGTCCTTGTCCCTGTCCCCGTCCCCCCCCAGCGCCTCGGGGGGCAGGAAGGGCCCTCGGTAGCCCGGGGTCTCCAGCCGGGCCGTGGCGTTGATGTGCACGAGCTTCTGCCACGAGCTCTGCGCCCGCGGGGACGTGTCACCTGTGGGGACAGTGGGGACGTGTCACCTGTGGGGATGTGTCACCTGTGGGGACGTGTCACCTGTTGGGACAGCGGGGACAGCTCAGGGGACACCCACGGCACGGGGGGAATGGCCTCGGGAGAACCAAGGGACAGGCACAAGGGATACTGGGAATGCTCCCCCTGGAGAGGGCTGTCCAGCCCCGGGTGAGGATGGGGCAGCTGGGACACGGGCTGTGTCCCCAGGGGTGGGGGAACAGGTGAACTCCAGCACCTGGGAAGCCCTTCCCAGCCCCAAGCGTTCCCTGATCTCGTGTCTCCAGTGGGAGTCACCCCCCAGGTCTCACGGACAGGGACCTGGGGCTCGTGGGCACAGAGGTTGCTGTGGCAGCCGGTGGCCGGTCCCGGCCATGGGGGGGCAGGGACCGAATTTGACTGGGCTGCACCTGTCCAGCACCACCTGTGGGACAGGTAACCCCCCCCCCCCCCCCCTGCGGACAGGTAACCCCCCCCCAGCACCACCTGTGGACAGGTAACCCACCCCCAGCACCACCTGTGGACAGGTAACCCCCTCATCCCCAGGGCTGGAGCTCCTGGAGGATCCCTGGGTCCCAGCTGGAGGGCCCAGTCCCGTGTGGGTCCCTCAGCCCCCCCTGTGGGTCCCTCCCCCCCTCTGTGAGTCCCTCAGCCCCCGTGTGGGTCCCTCACCCCCCCTGTGGGTCCCTCACCTCGGAGGCGGGTGTGGAAGTCAGGGTTGAGCACCTGGTGCAGGTAGGGGGGCCGGGCCTGCTGCAGGACACACAGTGACCACACCAGGTCCGTCAGCACGTGAGGATCCAGCTGCTGCACCTGCCCCTGGAGCTGCTCGTGGAGCTGGGATGGGAGAACACGGAGGGAAGCTCGACCACACCCACGGGTGTGCCCGGGTGTCCCCGCTGTCCCCCCAGGGTGCTGCACAGGGGAGGCTTTAGGGCCCCTCTCAGGTGATCCCTCGGTCCCTCAATCCATGGATCCAGCCATCCAACGCCCCCTTCCCCGTGGGAATGTGCCAGGAGAACATCTGTGCTCCGAGGACGGGTGAGAGCTGGGGGGGCTCTGCCTAAAGGGGGAGCTGGGAGGGATTCGGGACACGGGAAGAGGGGGGGATTTGGGGATGGAATCCATGGCTGTGGGAAGTCTTTGCCCCCACCAAGAGCACCCCAGAATCCCGGGATTCCCAGGGAAGTCACCATGGTGAAGAATTCCTCGCCGGAGCTGGGCTGGAAGTTGAGGCGGGCGAAGGACACGACGATGGCACACAGGTGGGCAACGGACATGGCCTGGGTGTTATCCAGGGAATACTGAGGGAAAATGGACATGGCCCGGGTG